TCAGGGGCCACGGGGCACGCAGGACATGTCCCCCACCCCTCAGGACACCAGGGACCCCTCCCCACCTTTCTTCTCGGAGCCATAGGACCAGTCGTTGTCATTGATGTCATCGTTGTCCTCCTGGTCACTCTCTGACTTGTTCAGGTTGTTGCTGCTCGCGATCCTGAGCGGGGAGGGGAAGGAGATCACACCGGGGTCTGCCCCACATCCTCCAGGGAGCCCCAGATCCATCCCACGTCCCCCTGCACCTCCGTCCTCCCCGGCACCCAGGGATCCAGAGAGCCACCGAGGCAGGGACAGAACCCCCAGGGGGGACACAGGACACAGCCCCCAGGATTCCCAGCTTCTTTTCCCAGGAGAGATAAACTGGCAGGGAGGAACAAGAGGAGCTCCAGGGGGAACCCAGCTGGACACCCCCAGGATGGAAAGCGAGGACAGGGGAGACACAGAATTGGCTGAACTGGCATCCCAGGCTCCTCAGAGCCCGAATCCACCCCGGCAGGCCCAGCGGTGCCTCGGTTTCCCCGGGAGCAGCCCAGCCCCACCTGCGGTTGGCGATGCGGCTGCTGTTGCGGCCCATGCCCAGGCACTTCTCCAGGTGAGGGGCGAAGCGGGAGGCGGCGATGCTGCGGCTGCAGTTGGGGCACACGCACTCCTTGTTCTTCCACTGGTTGTACACCTGCCCGAAGATGTCCACGCCCGGCTGGTCCACGATCTCTGCGGGGGACACGCTCAGCCCCTGCCCCGAAACCCCCAGCTGCTCTGGGGGGCCTCGGGCAGACCCTTGCCCGGAGCCTCCCCACAGCCTCAAGGGGACTCGGGGGAGCTGAAACCAGCGGCAGCTCTGCCAGGGGGTCTCTGCCACCTCCCACCCACACCCCAGCTGTGCCCCCCAGGGCCCCAGCCCCACGCTCTGGGGTTCAGTACCCCCCCATTTTCCCCTCCAGCACAGTCTGCTCACTGCTGGGGGGACATGTGGGTGTTTAATCCCCCTCAAAGCCAAATCCCGGTGTGTGGGGACACCGAACCCCCACGGGCTCTCTGGGAGCAGGGCCTGGCTGTGTCCCAGCATCACCCTGGCCCTGGGGGCCTTGGGGGGCTCACCGAAGTCCTTCATACTGTCAGGGTCCGTGTCATCCAGGAAGAAGTAGCCGCACTTGACAGCCCGGTGCACCTCGAAGCAGAGCCCCAGGCAGGCATCCTCCACCAGCTCCGTGTAGATCTCGTGTGCAATGGCCTGGGGGCCCAGGGGGGCTGTTAGGGACGGGGGGGGACACACGGACACCCCAGGGGACAGACAGACCCCCGGAGGGGGCAGCTCACCTCCAGTTTGCTGTTATCCAGGCCAGACAAAGACATATCCTCCATTTTCATTTGCAACTGCTTGCGGAGAAGTCACGCCGAACACTCATAGCACGGGACACGGGGGGCTGGGGGCACGGGGGGGGTCTCACTGGCACCTCAGCCCTCACCTGCAGACCTGTCCCGACCCCCTTCCCAGCCAAAATCCCACTGCACACCCTGGGATGGCCCCAAGATGCTCTCTGGGGGGTCCCCAAGGAAAACGGTCCTGGGGTTAAACCCTGCTGGAGTGAAGTCGGGGGGCTCGGGGGTCTCCCAGCTGGGCGTGCCCCTCCCCAGCCTGGCATGGATCCCCCCAGGTTAGTGGGGGACACTGGCTGACAAGGGTGGGGTGTCCCCTGTCCCCCAGCGTGCCCCCCAGCCCTCAGGCCAGCCTGGGACACGCCCAGCGCTCAGAGAGGTGGCACGGCCCCCACAGCAGCCCCACCTCACCCCACACTGTGTCAGGACTGTAGGTGAGCACAGGGGACTCGGCGTGTCCCCAAACTGCCCCCACCTCCGGGGGGGTGATTTTGCTGCATCACCCTCCCTGGCAGGAGATGGAGGGGAGCACCGTGTGCCCCCCAAAATGGGACCCGGCCTCCCCTCCCCGCCAATGGGAGTCTCAAGACCCCAAAGCCAGGGTCAGACACCCCCAGCACCCAAGGGTGCTGCCCAGTAGAACCCCTGTTTGTCATGGAGCTGGGGGGACACAAGAGGGGTCTCCAGGCCCCCCGTACGCACCCCAGTCCCGCTGATCCAAGGATTTCTTCCTTCCAAAATGGAAAGAGGAAACGGGCTGGAATTGGCTCAGCCCCCAGCACACCCCCCAGGCTGAGGCAGAAAAGGGGGGGGGAAAAGGGGGGAGGTTCAGGGGGTCTCCCATAGGGCTGGGGGGTCAGGGAGGGTCCCAGGGGCTCTCAGGATCAAGGTAGGGGTAGGGAATGAGGGGTCTCAGGGCCTGGGGGGGTCTCAGGAGAGGAGGGCGGGGGACAGACACCAAAGGGGGGTTAGGGGCAGCTCGGGGGGGGTCTCTCGCCCGTCTGAGGGAGATAAGGGAGGGCCCGGGGCTCTCAGGAGTGGATGGAAAAACAGGAAAATGGGGGGAGAAGGGAGATCTGGAGGCATGGGGCTGGGGGGCCCAGTGAGGGTTGTGGGGACTCTGAGGAAGCGGGGGGCAGGAAAGGGGGCAGGAGGGGAACCAGGAGTGCCCAGCAGGTCCGGGGGGCCCCTGGGGGGTTCAGGCAGAGAGCGAGGGAGGGGGAAGGGGAGGCTCGGGACCTGGGGATCCCGGGCAGGGTCCCGGGGCCCCTCGGACCGGGCTGGGAGGGCACGGGCGGACCGCGGGGTCCCCGAGCGCCGGCGGGGAGGTCCCGGGGCGGGGTCAGCAGGCCCCGCTCCGGTGCGGCGGGGCCCCGCGGGCGGGCAGGGCCCGGAGGGGCGGGGCGGGC